GAAATCATCTAAGAAATCTTCCCCTCTATCTTGATTGTTCGCCTCTTCATCATCATCCTGAACGAACAAATCATCATACGCATGATCCTTTTGCCACTTCTTATCCTTATACTCCTGAGCCTGTCTCGCTTCTTGTTTTCTCTGTTCCCAGATTAGTATGTTCCAATAACAAAATGCACACTACGTACCCGTTCCAATAAAGCAGCTTGATCCTTCTTCCTCGCAGCCTTCATCTTTTCTTCCTTCTCCATTGCCAAATCTGGGAACTTTTCAACCTTGGTCTTGTTCAACCGATTGACAATTGGGTTCTCCCTTGCGGGAACCAAAATTCTTTTAACCTAGCACCGCATATCTCAACATCACAGAATGCTTTCGAATACGTATTCAAGAGAGAACCAAATGAAGTACTTACAGTCTTCTGATTCTTGAAACTAACTTGTCCCACCGCCATACTTCCATCTTTCTTCAAATTCGACCATGGTGTGTAGATGATAGTAATATTATCCTTCTTATTTCCTAGCACAAAACCATCAACTCACATGTCCTCACAACACTCTCATTTCCCCTTCTCAGACTCTCATGACCAATACCACATACCTTCAATAGAATTTGCTTTGGTCAGTTGAGCACAATCCATCAATAATTCCTCCGGAATAGACTCCCACGAATCCCCCTCATTCATTCGAAGATAAATGTGTGCACTCGACAACTTGTCTACGTGAAACCATACATCTTCTTCTAATCCATGTTTGATGAGATCTTCATCTATGGGTTGCGTCAACATGTGTTTTTTGACTTTCAGTCAATGAAATTTATTTCTTACTTTCGAATTTATCTTTTCCAGCATAAATGTAAGCCGAAGGCGAAACAGTGTTAGAGGTGTAATAATACACCATTTTGTTATATTGTAAATCTTTCCATAAAGTTGTGTTACTATCCTGAGTACTAAGTAATTAATGCCAATGGTTAAAGTTATTGGTGTTTGAATTCTGATATTGACCGCGCACCCGACTCATTTCGGTCTCCGTATAAAGATTTTCTCCCCTCCCCATCCCATAACCAAATCTCTAAATAAGCTTCCACCCCCATCCAAACAACATGGCACCCAAACTCCCCACCAGCTGGGCGCAAATTCCGCCCTCCTTTCTCCTCCCCGATTCTCTCCTCCCTCTCATAACCAAACGTGGTGTAAAATATGGCTGGACAACCGCCCCTCCTCGCTCCCACCCCGAACGCTTTAACCAGCAAACTGCTGGACTGCCCATCCTCTCCGCCTCCTCAACCGCTGCTCTCGCACGTAAAGACTTTACTCTCCCTCTACGCACCGGCGCCCTCGGTATCAAAAAAGGCATGACCGCCCTCTACGATCCCGAAACCGGCGTTCGCACACCCTGCACCGTTGTGCAACTCGATCGCGTACAAGTCGTTGCTCACAAAACCCGAGAAAAGAACGGTTATTATGCAGTACAGGTTGGTGCTGGCTGGAAACACCCCAGCAATGTTACGAGGCCCGAATTGGGACATTATGAAAAGAGTCAGGTTGCGCCTAAGAGATATATGACTGAGTTTCGTGTGAAGAATGAGAGTGGATTACTAGATGTTGGAAGGAGTATTGGAGCAGAATGGTTCATAGAGGGACAATTCGTGGATGCGAGAGCGACTAGTAGGGGAATGGGATTTGCAGGAGGAATGAAGAAATGGGGATGGAGTGGTCAACCGGCTAGTCACGGTAACTCTAAGAATCACAGGACGATGGGTAGTGCAGGTGCAAGTCAGGGAAGTGGTTCGAGAGTGCATCCAGGAAAGAGGATGGCGGGGCGAATGGGAAATCATCAGGTTACAATTCAGAACGTTAAGGTGTTGAAGGTGGATGCTGAGAAGGGGTTGGTCCTCTTGAATGGATGTATTGCGGGGCCAGATGGATGTGTGGTGAAGATTCAAGATGCCATCAAGAAGCCATGGCCAAAGGTACCATCGATACCCGCTTTGTTGGAAGAAGTTAAGGAGCCAGCGAAAGCAGCTGCTACTGCGGCATGAGTTGAATGTTTTTACATTGTAATATTTGTATGAATACATGGCATATACAGGCGTTTCAGACCTGAACCTATAACGCCAGCCCAATGCCCTTTTCCCTTCCACTGTTAATTCTATCCTCATCGTCTTGCCACATCCAAACGTGCTTATACTTGCGCTTGGCGCATGACTAATTGTCTATCATCGCCATCCTCATAACTAACTGGAACCAACTGGAGTTCTCTCCTCTCAATTTTCGAGACTTTCAACTCTCCCAACACTCCTTTCATCTCCCAATCCCACACAAACCACACCCCACCTCTATCCTGACAAAGCAGGCGCATAACTTCCTCTGCCTGGTTCCGCTGACCTCTCCTCCACATCCTCAATTCCCTTAAACGGATCCGCCCCATCCAAAAGATCAATCTTGACCTTTTCATCCCCCTCCCCGCCCTCCAAACTCCACTCCGTCGTCTCAAACATGCCCTGTCTTGTGGCTCTATGACTCGTAAACTTCATTGTTCCACTCCTCTTCGTTCCCTTAACCTCAAACTGAATATCAATCCTACCGTGCAATTGATTCATTTCGCCCCAAATCCACGGCATCTTATGCGCAAAATAAATCTCGTCACCGAGAAACTCACGCGCTTTAGGTGATGTGCGGAGGGCGTAGAGAGTAGATGATACGACGGAAGACGAGGACTTTTGGTAGTTGAAAATGGCGAGGGTGCTGGAGATTAGGACGACGAGGAATATGGGAATGGATCGGACCCATTTCATGCCATTTTCAGGAATGTCTGAGGTATTCTGTCAGTATTCTTCTTAGTCGTTGCTATGTTTGTGCAACAGTACCAGGTAATTCTCGATCCCCTCTCCTCTCCATCAATGGACCATCTCCAACTTTTGGCGCTGCAACCAGCGTTCTCCTCTGGATGAGATTTCTCGCATTGTTTATGTTGCTTACTCTTAACCTAGGCAAAACCCTCGAGCTTCTGAGTAATCGTGGTAACATTTTGTGTATGATGTATGGCGTTGATATTGACAATAATTGTTCGCAAAGGAGGGGAGCTTTGAATTAATCGTGTGATTCGAACGGGCCCGCTAAAAGTTGAGTGTGGCGCAAATGCGAGGCTGATAGCTATGCATGTGCAAGGCTCCAGCTCTAGCTACATCTTTTATTTTGACAGTCTATTTGATATTCGATCAAGATTTTGTACAACAAATTTGCATTAATATCTATTGCAAAAATGGAGCAAACTACTTCTCGTCTACGCAAGACATTTCGGTATCCCACAGATAACGACTCCGATGATTCGTTACCCGAAGCTCTTGACGAAGAAGGTATGCTTGACCCCGCGATTCATCTCTTAACATATCAAACTAACCCTTTCTCTCTAGAACAAGACAACCTAATTCAACATCTTTCCACCCTCCACACAAGATACAACACCATCTACACACGATTTCTTCTCTGTCTCCCTCTCATAAGCATTATCCCCTACCTCCTCACCCTCTTCACTCCAACTACCTCTCTCCTCAGCATCCTCTCCATTACCTCGCTCCTATCTACCGCTTTCCTCATATACTCTTTACCTCCGGAGAGAACATCCATTTCTCTCCTTGACAACATCAACCAACCATCTAAAGATTCTCCTCGGTCGAAAATAGCAGTGCTAGGAGCAAATAGCGTAGACGATGGACCACTCCAAACCTACCTCCCAATTCTCAATCTCGTGCTCAGTCTTATACTAGGAATTCTTGGAACGATTATAAAGTTTAAACATCAATCTAGGTCGAGAATGTCTGAAGCGGAAACCAATATCTGGTGGACCGGGTTCGAATGGTTACCCCTGGGGATTTACGCCGTGGTACTCTTAGCGAAAATCGTAATGGGAAGTGTAAACCCCGAAGAAGAGCTGGGGAGTTTGAGATATGGATACAAGGGAGCTTGAGGAGTGTTACAAATCTCCAATATTGTTTCCAATGCTCAAAATTATTCCAATATTTTGTGAATCTTTATCTCAAAAATGGACATTTCTTACTGATATTCTATCCTCTTTTTCTCCGAACTTCGATACTATTGTTCTTCTCTTATTCCCCGAGATTCCTTTGAGATATCAAACTGTACAACGACAACAATCTCTTCAAAAAAACATGCGAATGCTCAAAAAACTACCAATTCCAGTATCAAGAATTGAATGCCTCCTATATTCCATAAACCCACTCCATCCAACATCTCTTTACTACCTAGTATCTCATTCCTTCTACGAAATTGCGAGCTCACGAACATGTGAGCTACAAGCATTCTATACCACACTTCTGCATCTCAAAACCTCATATCACATATATCTACCTCCCGTCTTTAACAAAACACACACCCATTTCTTATGCAATATTCCATTCCAGAAGAACGGTGCGGATAACATCGTCTTCCACTTACAAAGCGGAGTTGCTTGAGCTGCTAACGAGAAGGAAAGGAGAAGTTCGGGTAACTCCTAGCTTTTTGGAAGCGAATAGCGAGTTACTTGCTCAGTGCACGAATTTGGCTGTCCTTCCCAAAGAGATCTCGGCTGAGAGTGTTATAGTAAGAGGAGTTTAGGATTTAGAAGGAGAGGGACGTCGATGGAACAGTAAAGATTGGGTCTAGACGAATGGAGAGTTAACAGAGGATATTCAGGCGAGAACAGAAGTCCGGATGAGGAGATGAATAAGGGAAAGATAATGAATATACCTAGTTGGGTCTTTAGATCATGAGAGAATGGTTTTCTACAGAAATCGCGTGTATCTATAATTTTCCTAGCAATACCTATTATTCTATATATTTACAAGCACTTGTGAGTTCACGTACCACTTGGGAAGCACTACCACTCAATATTCTAGAGTTATTTTTGTTCGATTGTTGCTTTTCAATTCTTCCCATCAAAGCTAACGTGCTCCCGACCACAATCCCCTGTAAGCCTATCATCTAAGCTACGTTACCCAGCCACCTACATATCAATGCTTTCATTAAACCTCAACACGCCATTTGCCTTCAGGACCCCATCAACACCATCTGGCAGACGTGGGAACGGATCACTGAATAATTTCTTTTCGTCGACCGGTTCTGCGGATTTATCAATCACCAAAACAAGTCCTTGTGATTTTATGGCTTCGATCAATGCTGGTACCATGTCCTAATTTTGTGTTAATTAATCATTCATCATGGAAGTAAAGCAAAGGAAAATGAGATGGGATTTTGTAGGTGAGGCGGATTTCTTCAGGGGAAAAGACATACCAAAAGTCTGGAACAGCAAATCAAGCCCATGAAATTATTGTTCTTTGCAATTCTAACCGATTCCTTAATAGAAGTAGTTCTTCTTCCACTGACTTCCACTCCTAGTTGCTGACCTGGTTCCCCTTCGCGACCCAGGTCATTGCATAAGAAAACCGGGTAATTTGGTTGTTTCCAATTTAAAGTAGTGCAGATAGTATGGTTGTATGAGCTAAAAACAATCGATCTCATTGCATCTGGGGAGTGTTCTCGGAGAGTTCTAGCGTGGTCAAAAACCACTCTGAGAATGGCATCACCAAATGCATTGATGTTTACCGTCGGGCTAATTTGCATGACTTTCTCTTCTTCCAAGGTGGGATATAAGATTTGTATGTTAACATGCATACCTTTTGGGAGTAGAGAAAGCGCATCTTCCAGTGATACAGTCGATGCTGCAAGTATATCATGGATTTCGGTAATGCTCGCCAAGGGCATTTCAGGTAGAGCAGATAAATCTCTAGTTGATTTTCTTTGGGCCGAGCCCGCACTTAGAAATTGGGCGTAGGTAAGGCGGCACACTGGAAATTCGATGTCATTATAGGTAATATTCCAACGTGGCCAAAGAACTGCGACTCCATCACAAGTATGTTGAACGAAAAGTTGTATATAATCTCCAGACAAACTAGATCCGGTGATGAAAGCGCTTGGCCTGGAATCAAATTGGCTCGTAGCTTTCCAGTAAGTTTCGAAATCGGTGATTTCCAGTGGCTTTCCTTGAAATGGTTTGATAACCTGGAAATTGAAAGTAATTTGTCCAATAGCCCTTAAGCGTGGATCAAATAGTGGCAAGCAACAACGACCGGAACTGCTTTCTAATGCTCGAAATGTGCTAGGTAATGCGACTGTCTTTGCAATGACTTTAGCACCGTAAGTGGGGAAAACATCGAAATCGATGGCGAAAGAATCTAAATTATCAATCTGAAATGAAACAAGTCGGGTATCTTCTTGAAATGGGAGTAAAATATTTTTGGGTATCAAGTCCGAAAGTTTGGATGAAATAGTGAGACGTGCTGCAGGATATTTGCTGCCATGGAAAAAGATCATCGGTTGCTCTCCATTCTCTTCTGCAAAGCTAATCTGTATGAAGGTTTTCGTGTCGAGGAAATTATGGCCGTATCGTCGTAACGGAATAATAGGAGGTGGCAATTCCAAGTCAGGGATACCATCAGCATCAATGCTCATTGGCATAGGGGCACTGCTTCCCATTGTGGAACCGATAATTGGGACTGCGATGGCCTTCCCACTGGTAGGTGGTTGTGGAATCAAGGACAAGAGCCTCATACATTCGAGATATCCTTCCCATGCCGCATAATACATGGCGGAAAGATCTTTTTCGTCACGAACATGAGTTTCGACTCCAACTTCCAGTAAAGTTTGCATACATGGTACATTTCCTTCACTAGCTGCGTGAAATAGTGGTGTCCATGAGTAAAGTTTGTCGATTTGATTGAGATCCGCACCGTAACTCTTCAATAAAAGAAGTAATTGCGGTGTCTGACCAGATCGTGCAACAAGATGCTGGGGGTATAGACCTTCAGCATCTGGAAGAATTTTGGCGCCGTGTTTAAGCAAAAGTTCAACGATTGCGATGGAGCCATTTTCGCAAGCCAGGTTTAGAGGCACATGATCTGCCTCGGATACCGGGTCAATTCTGGCAGATCGCGCAAGTAACCTCTGAGCACATTCTATATGGCCATGAATAATTGCATGTATAAGAGGCGTGAAATTGTCATGATCTATTAGGTCAATGGTAGAATGATCCGCTGTAGTAGTAAGGTCATCAGCATTTGAAAATGAGGCGTTTCAGGGACCAACATACCATTCAGCAGCTCCTCCATCATATCAAGTCGGCCATGCATACACGCATAATGCAATGGTACCCGCCCATATACGTCGGTTCGGCTGATTGTCACTCCCTTAGAAAGTCCAACGGTCAACACAAAACAGTTCCCGTAAATCGTAGCTTGATGAAGGCAATTGCGCTCATTTATATCATCCTCAGACTGTACATCAACCAAACCAGTATCCAGAAGCAGTTGCAATGATTGCTGGGGGCCTTCATTAATTGCTGCAAGGAATGTTCGAGTGATTCTTTCCATCAGTGCCAGATCCCTAGTACCGTTGGGGCCTGCTGCGGAATTCATACGTTGCAGAAGATCTTTCAAAGAGTCAAGATTTCCAGAAATGACAGCTTCCAATAATAAGGTATCGGCATCACCTTCATCAGTGCCCAATAAATGTTGACTGCTAACAATATGTTCTTGACTCCTTGCAAAGTTAACATTATCGTCTTCGGACCAAGCTCCAAGCTCTTGTAAGCTTGTGGTGGCCTGATCAGATAATTCGCTGATAGCAGTTGCATCGAAAAATGGTTGTACTTCAACAGCTCTTGAAAGATAGAGCTCCTTCGTCTTCGATTTGGAAGTTTTGTCCCATTTTTTCAAGATTTTAGAAAATGCCATGCCATTAATCTCGACGAATTGTTGAAGCTTATTCAAATCATTGCCAAATTGTTGGAAGCCTTCTTCCAAAGTGGTGAATTTGGCAGATCTTCTTGAAGTATTTTGACTGCGGGATTGAAGAACCTTCTTCTTGTCCAGTAAAGTCTTCAGCCGGATTTTAAGCTGTTCTCAATAAGCAAATGACTTTTAGACCTTATTTTGATGAATGACATACCTCTGCTTCCTTCTGGAGGTAAAAGGCATTGACTTTCTCGAGTTCTCGCTCCTGTTGGATATTTAGTACAGCTTGTGTTTGCAAGAAGGAGGGCAACGTACCAGTTGAAAGAAGAAGGTAGCCTTATTTGCTTGCAACGCGGCCTGGGAATCAAGGACAGGCGCTGAACGGTGAAGTTCATTTTGCGCAAGAATTATGGGAGTAGCAGAGAGCTTCTTGATGAGCTATTGTGGTGTTAGTAAATGGTAAAGACTCCCCCATCAAACTACCGCAAGTGTCAGAAGCTTGAAGCTTATCACTTGCTGCGCTTCAAATTAAGAAGTAGTTGAGACGAACCTTCTTCAAAGCTTTATAATTGACGAAACTAGCAGCATACTCGGGCACTTCGAGCTGCCTCTTTTGGATTTGCTTCCCAAACTTCCTATGCAGAGAAAGTTTAGTGGTTATGTCTTCAGGAGAGGGTAAAACGGATTGAATCTGGGGTGAGACGTACATGGTAGACTGCTTGCAGTCTAAAAGGCCTAAAGCAACGAAAACAGAACTGACTGGTAGAAGAAGTAGGGTCTTTCCAGATCAAGGCTTGCAGGTGGCGGGAGGTCGATCAGATCACATGCAAATCATGACTATATCTCATGCAAAATGCCACTTCATAAGCCAACAAGAAATGGCGTTGAGTTTGTGTGGTGTTTGTAAGGTAGTAGATATGGAGATGATCAAACCCAACTGCTTTCTTATGTGATACACGTGGATCTGCACGATAGCTGTTGTGATCACCGTACCGTAGTATTACTTGCTACCTTGATATGAAAGTAGAAGTTGACTGGGTGAGAAGGGGGAGATATCCTAGTGGGTGGTGAAGAAACAAAGTAAGCCGTACAAGAAAGTCTTTGACTGATGTAATGTGATGTCTGCAAACTTAATACAACAAGAACAGTCTTCGAGATTAAATAAGTACTCCGTGTATGGAATCGAAAATTGATGCAGTTTGGGGATGTCCAGTATTTAATGTTCAACTTTATTTTTTTCTTGGATGTCCCTTTAGAGCTCTCGAACAGAGAAGGGTTTGGCCAGAAAAGGACTAGTGAGGGGCAATATTAACCAACAACACCCGCAGTAAATGTCTATGGATGGCCGCTTTCTCTTTTTCGCCTGGTAGATCGTAGTCGCTGAGTCCCTAGGTGTCTAGGTAGTTAGTATTGACACTTCTATGATCTTGGAATTGGATGTCGATCATATTACTTTATCTTAACTATCAACGAGTTAGTACGGAATCAATTTATAAAGGCTTTGATCGGGAATATTTGACACTTTCTAACCAAGTTGATTGACGTGCTGTCGCTGCTTATCATCGCCTGCTTCTTTGCTTACTTTACTCGCGGAGACTCCAGAGAACGGGGTAGCTATAGGAAAGTATCGGCAGGTACCGATCGATAGGTTTTCATTTCATGCAACGTTCGTACTCTCTACCTTTCACAGCCATTCGTGAGCTATTCCTAGCAAATCATTACCCCACGTGCTAGAATGCAAGGCTCAAGAATGCTGAGCCGTGATTGAAAGGTGGGGTGGGGTGATGGGACGTTGACACTCAAGTGTTGATTGATGAGACAAGTTAACAAGTCATTATTTATTTTGTCACTAAATCTTAACCAAACTTAAACAGGTGAGCAATTTTTAGGTAATAGTGTAGAAACGTTTTGTGTCAAAATTTGTGATTATTATTGAATGGGCCCTGTCTAGATATTGTTGCCGTGCCTCCTTAACAAAGTGACAATGGCCGTTGTAAGATACTATTAAGCACCGAAGTACAAGTAGCAGAGTTTGTGAAGTTGGACCTCAATGCAATACTCGAGCGACATGATCTCGCGTATATTGACTTTGGGGGCAGACATGGTAGATGCTATTTCAGGTTTGCAATAAAATCAATTTGGATATCATGGAAAGTACGAACAAGATTATCCAACCTCCCTTTGAGAATTTCTGAAATTAGGATAATGGATTCTTCAACACTCAAGGCTTGCTAGCCAGCTCCGCTGCCAATTTATCCTTCGTACCTGATGTTTCGGCTGGTTCAGGTTTCTTTGCAGGCTCAACAATATTTTCGGACATCGCTTCAGCTGCTGCTTTCTTGAGCCTCTCCGCATCATCCATGCGAACTTCTTTACCACCAACTCGATCTTTAGACTCCTTTTCGTCCTCGCTATCTCCAAGGCTGAATGGATCATGGTCGTTATCAGCGTCACCGACAGGGCTGGGCTCCATTGCATTCAATGGTTGCCATTTACTCTGTTTGGCTAATGGGACATTTTCTTTTCCGCCAAGTTTGGGTGAGGTGCGATAAAGATCATCCTCCACCGTAGCAGTTTGGAATGATACCTTCCGACCTTCAGCTTTTGGAGCACTAGGAGTAGGTTTGAAAAGATCGGGGTTTGCAAGTGGACGTGTAGATCGGCGGGCTGCAGGAGCGGGTTGATAGTAAGCATTTGAAGGTTGACTTGCGCGAGAAGCATTACCTTCATGTCTACTGCCATCCTCATTAAGCTGAATTCCAGCGAAATCGTCGCCGAGCACCTGGGGATCGGCATCATATCGATTATAATCCCCACTCTGCCTGCCTTCCCCACTTCTACGGGTGCGATATTGTGTGTGTTGATTGGAATTGTAGCCCTGTGTGGAAGTTGTCTCTTCTGCATCATCTCCATCAAGCTTCTTCTTCAAATTGGTAATCCAGCCATTGACTGTACTCTGTGTCTCAAGGAACCCCTTTCTAAGATTCTCTTTGATAACTGGTAGATCATCATCAAAAAAGCTATGCTGATCCTCCTCACCGTACATTTCATTTGGCTTCAAACCAGTTTGTTTCCGACCTGGAGGGTATGCACCTCTGGAACCGCCTCGAGCTCCATGCGGACCATATGATGATGATGATCCTTCGTAGTGTTCTGCAAGCTGACGTGCATATTGTTCATCTGATTCCAATTGTGATCTTGGAGTAGAGCCGACTCTTTGCGCCTGAGGACGAGGAGGTTGCGCAGGGGGGACTTCAATCCCAGCATCTGGATCTGACATGCCTATGGTTATCGAATATTAGGAATGTAATATAATGCGACAGGAATACATGCTTACCTAGAAGAGCATTGAAAGCAGGCTCAACACGACCTCCACTAGCAACCAAAACTGCCTTGACTACTGCTGCGTCAATGCTTGGGAAGGCGTCTTTCAAAGTATTCTCTGCTTGTTGTTGTGGGCTTAAGGGGCGCGGAGGCTTTTGCGGGGGTAGTTCATCTGCGGTCTTATTGTTCGATGCTGGTACATCACCGCCAGTAGTACCTTCTTGTGCATCATCGTCGTCCATATCGAATGGCGCTACAGTAGTTGGAGATTCTGGAGGAGGGCTTCTACTCTGAAAAAAGGAAGTGAGTTAGAAATTAGTTATTTCATAATCTATGTCGGAATAACGCATAAAGTTGTGGAATCAAGGAATGTATCATGTATCAGCTTACAGGGCTCTCTGATTTTTTTGTTGGTGTAGACATTTCGTAATGTACCGTAGTCACCTTTATCAAATGGATTTGGAGAAGGAGAAATTCAGGTGTAGCGTGCGTATATGAATTACGGAAATGTGTTCAAGATCTTGGGAATGGTGTTAATTATTAGGGATGATAGATAGATGGATAACTTAAATGGTTTCTTGCTTAATCAGATTCTGGAAGCAGGGCTATCGTCACCCCACTTGCAATTGTGGCACAATTCTCCGCTTTGTGGCTGAGTTATATACTCCGTGCATGTGATTCCCTTCCAGGTCGTCCAATCAGCATGAGGTCTTCTTTAAGCCGGTACCTAGTAGGTATTGGAACATCATTATTGACTTTATCATCAGCCTGGGCATCAATCACACTCAAAAAACACCATCACTAATAACTACTAGAAATGCTAGTCATTTACTCGCGATATCAGTGATTTCTAAAGACTCGGGCTATACTAAACACCCGATATTTCATGAACATAATTTCATATGTTCGTCATCTTTTCACTTAATCTCTCTTTCCATATCTTTCCATACCCAAGTACCTAAACCAACCAAGACATCATAAAGTTTGTTAGAAAGCCTTCAGAACTTTATCCACCCAGCCCCGAAGAGAATACGTGATCTTATGTCTCTGGGTTCCCCTGATGAGGGTGTTGAACAGAGAACCAAAGAAAAACAGAACGCAATAAGCAACAAGATCAAAGGAATCAAAGGAGCCACCTCTCCCATCCACATTGCTTGTCCGCAAGTTTACCTTTCTTTAAACCAAATTCTCATCAGAAAATCAGTGTACTTGATTACCGTTTCCATTACAATTCAGAATTTCGAAGATGCCTCCGACGATGTTAATATTGTGATGTCTTGAGCCACAGTATCGATTATGTGACGTGGACGAAGATTTCGGATGCTGGGGATGATTGATGTGTATTCCAGCGAACCTCCTGAGACTAGAGTTTCTGACCGACATACCATTGTCTGAAGACATATAAGACATTTAAAGCAACGTCCATGAGAAAATCGTCCACATTTGCTTCATTACACATTATTGGTCGAATTGCTCCAATACTGTGACTTAGACAGACATCAAATGACGGGGCGTGCTAGGTAACCATCAATGATAAATGCAAATAATGCTGTATGCGACGAAACAGAATTTGTCTATAAATGCTGTCCAACTTGAGTTGGCCTGATGTGCACCTCTGTGAGATGATGGATTTTGGAGATTTGAACCTATTTATCAAAGGCGATAAATGTTAGAATAAAAGTAGAACACACCGACGATTCATTCGTGTCAAAACTATTTGACATATCCAAACCTCCAAACCTTCGACGCAACCATTTTGAGTCGAACATCCACCAAAGGATTGGTCAAAGGACCAAGCAGTGTTATGCTATCCTTTGTCATTGCTTTCCTGCTAGTTAATAATGCTATCATACCTTTCCTGGTTAAATTCCCAAGCTCTCTGCTTTGAATAATTTATGGTTTCAGGTGTGCGCGGCAATGCTTATGTTTCGAAGCCCAAACCATCATCTGAATCTCGAATTTCAATGTGACGGAAAGAGAGGGATGCGTCGAATTATGATGCTAATGATCCGATAAAATAAATAAATGATCAGCCACCTGTTCAACAGCCAATGTCCAGAAGAAGACGAAGAAAAGAAGAAAGGGGTCACCCTCGCAATCACCTCACTCAATGTATGGCTCAAAATCAATGGGTGTGATGATACGCACATCAAATTGCTGTTTCCGGGGATTGTATTATGTTGCAAGGCTGGTCTACTGTTGGTGAAAAGGAATGAGTTGGATTTGATCTTTGGCGCCACTCTGTCTGTGCAGATACCTACCTAGTATGTATCCTCATGTGGTGGATGAAATTCTTTCTTGACACTTCTTGGGACTGCAAATTTGGTAAACATTGTCGGAAAGAATGATCGAGATGTACCTAGTATGCAGTGAAGAGAGGGGGCGAGGGGGACACATCGTGTGGAGATAGGTACCTACTTGACTATCCGGAGCCAAGGGAAATTTGTAACGAATGTGAAAGTTCAAAGTCAATATATATATATGTAGTAATGAATAGTAATAAAACCAGGTTATCACACTGCTCTGACTTTCATTAAATTGGCGGCCACTTCTTTTAGACTCTCATCCTGTAGCTACCAGCAATGTCTTTCTCATGACGTGAGATTCCGTTGATTAGGGGATGGGATGGAATGATTGGAAACCCGACCGGTTCATATATATATATATATATATGTATATATGTACCTACCTACCTACCTACCTACCTACCTAGATGGAGATGGGGATGGCGATGGGGACAAGTTCGATGGTCAGGCCAGGGATTGCGGAAGGAAGGAATAATAAGGAGATTGAGAAAAAGGCTTATTAGTAGGAGTGAGTGCCTTGGTGAAACTGGAAATGGATGATAACGATGAAATAATACATACTACTTACGGCATCTACCAGGTATTCGTTGATTCATTCATTCATGATGGAAACAGTATAACATATTGGGGTTCAAAAGGAATTCTTCATAAATGATAAAGAAAAAGAAAAAGAAAAAGAAGAAGAAAAGACCGAAAAGAATAAATAATAAATAATAAATGTAAAGAAAGTAAGAAAGTGGCATCGGAATTCCTTCCTGACTCTTGATTCTCACTCCCACCCCAAAAAAACAAAGGAAGCCAAAAAAGCCGACTTCGCGTAACTATAATCTTCAACTTGAACTAATAATAATCTGGGTGAAAGAGCACCAACATTCTCAGCCTGCCTTCACTCAACGCGTATAGTAGAGAGAGAAAAAAAAAACGAGACAAGTCCATTTGCTCTTAAATTTAAATCATGATTTTCCATACCCCCATAACCTTTCCTTCCAACTTATTATTATCACTTCGGTTTTCAATTCAACCAAAAAGAAATTATTCACACTCAACACCTTAAAATATTTTCGAAGCATGTTGAATCCCATCAATATTTGACCTCCCAAATCATAACCCATCGTCCATACCGATACTGTACTATTGATTCAAGGGCCAAATATATCCGTCCTTGACAAATACAATACCTGACCACCCGGATTTTGGTGACCGTCAATTCCCAGCCTTCAATCTTTCACGTCTCACAACTTCCACGACTTCTCCATCATGGCTTCAGCAAGCAAATCTACGCCGACTACCTCTGCTCCACGACGAAAGTCGTCGGGTCCGAAAGAGAAGAATTCTATGATCATTACTCTCAAATTATCTCCTGCGAACTTAAGGGGTGTTGGCCAACCTTTGATCAAAGAAGACTCTCCATCAAAGGATTCCACATCAACAATTCCAACTACTACGCCTGTCGCAAAGAGTCAAGATGGTGATGCTCCCGCCGAGTCGGATTCAAATACCCCCGTACCAAATGGTACTGATACACCGGTTTCATCATCGATGCCCCCTCCAACGGAAGCATTTAAGAAGAAGGCTGGCGTCAAGAGAAGTTCTACTGCCGCCCTAGGATCAGACACAACTCCTAGGGCCAGAGGCAAGCCAGGTCCAAAGAAGAAGGCAAGATTGTAAGTATATTGCACCCTTTCACTGTCGTCAAGCTTCAATGCTATATCTCTTGCCGGGCAGGTCAATGGTCTAGGGAACACCGGGTTCCGTATTCATCTTCTGTTACATGTGCTAACTCCATCTTAGGGATGATGGCACACTTGCTTCTAATGGAGGTACTCCAAGGGCGTCCAATGGAAACAGTTCCCATCGGCTTGGGCCCAAGGCCAACCAAGGCGCAATCAATGCTGGCTTACGTGCCCTCGATCGTTCTGGTAAACCTTGTCGCAAATGGGAGAAGCGCTCCTTCATTATCAAAACATTTACGGGCATCCCTATCGAAATTCCTAGATGGAGAGCGCCTCCTAAAGTGACAGTTAATCCCAGTACTGAAGGTTCGTCAACTGGTGATAGTAGCAAGGAGAACAAGGAAAACAGCCAGATTGAAAGTGAGAAGAGCACCAGCGCCATGGATGTTGATGCTACCAACCTCGTCAGCTCCCCCCCAGCTATAGCTCCAGCTCCAGCTCCAACCTCTACATCTACCTCCACTTCTGCACCTGCTGTTGCACCTACATCCGCTCAAGATCAAACTCAAACTCCTGCGGTTATCACTGCTTCCGCATAATACCTCCCGCCTGTTTTAATCTCTTATTCCGTGTGTTAAAACTCGGATCTTACCCGATCAACTTCTTCTTTCTCGTTAATGGGCAATCTTCCAAGGAACCGGATTATTAAACGACCCTGCTTTGTCTCACCAACGCAAGACATGTATAAAAATTTCTTTGGTTTCAATTTACTGGGCTTTGGGAAAACCTACGGGGCGTTGTGGATGGAATGGGATGGAGTGGAGATAAGTTCCGCCAAAGCAATGGTGTTTCTGGCGTTTCCTCAAAGCAGGGGAGTGTTAATGTAGCATACCGCAGCCTTTGGGTTCACGCATTATTGCTTAAGCAATCTAGATTATGACTACTTTCTTACTTTCATAGCCTGATCGGGCATACAAGGGTCCATTCACGTGTTTCCTTACCATGATCTCCAGTCCAGAGTTCCAACCATGATGGCAAGCTATTCGCAGGCGGATGAGTGATTTCATCAGTAAATTCTACTTTACACGGGTAGCTTCGACTGGCCGTTCATTTATGTCATCGGTTCACGGCAAGTCTCATTTCTTCTACGAAACCCAGATATTCATGCTATTCTCGGATATCTGCGTCCATCAGGGAAAATTTACACGTTAATGATGTTTGTGTTGAGCTTGTCTATCAATTGACATGATTGATAATGTGATTATTTGAGTTTAGATGGGCGGTGATTGATCTTGTATGATCAATCTGATGTGTTCTTCCCAAAACTTCGACCTCGATTGGGTGATGTTATGGATATACTGATGAGTAAATTGCTCTGGCTGCGAACTGTGCTTGTTCAAAAGGGTTTGAATATCAACATATTGTGGTCTTGTGTCTTTGGGATGGTTTTTATCATCATGGCAAGTAGGGATTTCAAAAAGGATATTGTCCACTTTGAGAGATATCTTTCGGCTTGTGTATGTATGTGTGTAGGTACGCAGGTAGCTGAATGAATGAATTACCTACTTGGTACCTACCGGATTATTGTACTGCTCATATCATCCCATATCAATAACAAAATTTACTCGAATTATGGTGAATTTGTTCATAAGCTGTAATTGATAGAAATCCGTGAAGTCCGTGATAAATTTCCATCACCCCCGGCCACCCTCGGTCATCGGGGAACGAACCACAACGGGATTAGCTCACGTATGAAATCCGCAAATGGCAACATTCGAGGAACCTACCTACCAGCCTACCCAGCTACCATACATTGATGTATTAAAGAATTGATAACAACTTATCATTCGTACAAGCTACAAACTGAAACTTCATGAGAAATTGAACATTCAGAAATATGATTCTTATATGAATTCTGAACCCAACTTCATTCACACTTAATGATATTTCGCTAGTCATGAAACAATCCAACTACTACTGGTACATCACACTTCGTCTCCACCTTGGTCCATTCCGTCATTCACTACTGAATTGAGAGCTGCAGATAGGTATAAACACAACTTCTGCGCCTTGCAACCTCAAGTCAAGGAACAAAAGAACACAAAACAGCCTCCATACACAAACAAACCTCTCGACTTCTAAATACTCGCCGGCGACAACGAATCTCTTCTCTCAACCTAACTACTGTCTACATACTTGCGAAATGACAAACTCATATCCTTCGGGCTCACCGGGGGTTCCAGACTCCGGCATGCCTACTGGAGCTCCCGGTTTCATGCCTCGAAGATCCTCATATGCCTCT